GTCTGCGGCCTGCTGGAGGCCGCGCGCGAGAAAAAGAAGGTCCGGCGGGGGACCTGGAGGCCGGGCCCTGGACGATCTAGGGCTGCGCGGCCAGGGAGCCCGGCCGGAGCCGAGGGGCGCGTTACACGGCGCCCAGGAATCTCTCCACGGCCTCCCCGTCGCCACCGGACGAAGCTTCAGCCTCTTGGTGGCCCCGTCTCCCTCCTCCAAGTACGCGCCGCTGTCGCCACGGCGGACGCGCACACTCGCTGGACTTGCTGCTCTTTTTGACGCTTCTTAGCTCGGCTTTCCCGGTTCGCCTTCCTGTGTGGTCCTCTCCCCGCACCTCCCCCAGCGAACCTGACCTCGGGTGTTATCACCTTGGACTCAAGTCTGTCTGTCTGTCTGTCTGTCTTTCTCTCTCTCTCTCTCTCTCTCTCTCTCTCTCTCTCTCTCACACACACACACACACGGTCCAGGGTGAGGGGTTCAGAGCCCAGATCATTTGCTCTTTCTCACCTCCCCTCTCCCGATCTTATTCCTCTTTTATTAGTTCCTGGCACAGAAATCATCTGGCCCATGACTTTGGGGGCAGAGCCATTTCTACCCCTCTCCCAACATTCTGGCGGGGTGTACCTTCACCAGGACAAGCCTAAGTCCACTTTTCCTGCAGAACAGCACGGGGATGGGGTAAATGGGGGGGGGGGTGACCTGCCCTTGCTGCCGCTGCCACTCCAAGACCCACATCCTCTTTTGGGATTTCCCAAGTGTGCAGTTTGTCTTCTGCCTCGTGTTGACCTAGCTGAAGGATCGCAAGGGGCACTTTTGGGCTACCTACAACCTCAGAAGTATTCCCCCTACCCCCTCCTTTCCAGGCATCTTTTCTGTTTATGCTTCATTCCTCACCTTTAGGGGTTGCCATTGCCACTCAGACTTCTCCAGATCTCAGCTTTTACCCCTGGTAGGATTATGGATGGGTGGGTCTCTCTCTCTCTGGGATGAGGTCTTTCACAATGGCCAGCCCCATCTGTTTAGCTGACTCTGTGGCCCCTGGACCAGAAGCACCAACATTAGCTGGGAGCTTGTGGGAAATGCACATTGTTAGGCCCCACCCAGACCTGTCACATCAGAACCTGCACTTGAATCTTCCAGTTGATTCTGTGCACACATTACCTTTGAGAAGCAGGGCTCTAGAGAACCCTCCAAAGCTGTTCCATACTTGCTAACTTATCTCCCTAGATTTCACAAGTATCCATGGCTCCCTAATTTCCAGTGGGCACCCTGCCTCTTACCTAGTAGTGAGGACACAGCAATCTTGGCTGAAGCCTGCTGACTCTTACACATTTCTCAATCTCCTCCAGTATTCTCTCCCTTAGTCCCAGAGATGGATGTGGAACCTCTTGCTCAACCCTTTTGAAATGGTCCCAACTGATCCCTGGTTTGGTCTTGGGCTCTCTTCTTTTCTCAGATCTCCCTATTGCAAAAACAATGCCCCTAGTTCCTTCTTCAACCCGCACCCCCTCTTCTTTCTGAGGACATTCACAGGAGCACCCAAGCTTTGCCAGCCTCAGGAAGCTACTCCAGGAGGCTGCAGGCTCTAGCTTCCTTCCAGCCCTGTTTGTTTGTTTGTTTGTCATTCGCGGAGCTTGAACTCTGTGCCTGGGCACTGTCCCTGAGCTCTTCAGCTCAAAGTGAGCACTCTACCACTTGAGCCACAGTGCCACTTCTGGTTTTCTGGTAGTTAATTGGATATAAGAGTCTCAAGGACTTTCCTGCTCAGGCTGGCTTTGAACCATGATCCTCAGATCTCAGCCTCCTGGGTAGCTAGGATTACAGGAGTGAGCCACTGGCATCCAGCTTGCTGTTTGTTCCTGTTCTCCATGGCCTCTCTTAGACTTCAAGCCGTCTGACCAGCATGATCATCTCACCCCACCTCCTCCTCTCATACACCTGGGGAAACTGATCTGAGCAGCAAATTTCCCTTATCCACGGAATACCCAACCTCCAAACTGCTACCTTCTCCTTTCCTCTCCTCAGAGAATCCACGTGTTTCCCTCGCTCTGGAGCTGGGGAAGTTGCTCTCCTACCATGGGCCTCTGCCCTGTTTCTGTCTGTGCTGTCACGTTGTAAGAACAGTGTGTGGCCGGGTGATGAGGCAGAAGAGAAATCTGTCTCCAGGGAGGGTCCCTATCATAAGTGACTCTGCCACTGGGCTATGATGGGGCTGCTTGCTCTCCACAGGCCCAGTCCTTACAACCCTGCACTTCTGTGTGTGCTCCTAACCACTTCCTGACCTGCTGCCCATCTGGTTGGGGCTAAGGAGTCATCTCTGGTATCTTTCCCTCCCTTCAGCCACTTGTTTGTGAGGTCTTAACAACTCTCCCCTCTATGTCCTTTTCCTGCTCAAGTTTTACAGAGATTGTCTGTTTTTCTTTGGTTTGGGGCAGTAAGGGGGTTTGAACTCAGGGCCTTACACTTGCTAAGCTAAGATCCCAAGGACTCTACCACCACCTGAGCCATGCCTCTGGCTCACAGAATATCCTTAATAGTGAAACTTCCCCTTCTATGGACTTTGTACTACTTGGTTGTCTCTATAGTCTCCAGCTGTGCAATCTCACCTATATTCTATCTTCAGCCTTCCTGTCACCTTTTAAAAACATTCCTTGAGGGGCTGGGAAGGTGGTAGAGTGCTTGCCTTGCATGCATGAGGCCCTGGGTTCAATTCCTTAGCACCACACAAAAAGCTGTAAGTGGTGCTGTGGCTCAAGTGGTAGGGCACTGGCCTTGAGCTGAAGAGCTGAGGGACAGCGTCCAGGCCCAGAGTTCAGGTGCCACGACCAGCCAAAAAAACCCCAAAAACATTCCTTGAATGGGGCCATCACTTGCTTAAGAACTGTTCATTGCTTTCTGTAGCTTCCCAAGTAGACAATTAGGGACTCAGTTTAGGAACCTTGTAGGCCCTTTGATGCTTGATCCAATATCTCTCACTAGCCATCTTCCCTCCCTTCCCTTGCTATGCAAATTCCTGGCTTGCCTGACACAAAGAGCTCAATATTGTTCAAACTGAGTTCCCACAATCTCAGCTGTCCCCTCCATCAAGAATGCTGTCCCTTAGGCAACTTTTTTTTTTTTTCCTGTCAGGAAACACTGGGATCTCTGTGTCATTTCATGGTGTTGCATGGTGGCTCTGGAAAGTTCTCTTCAAGATAGAGTTGAGGATTAAGTGCTCAGCATTAACCTGGCTAGGTGGCAAGCGTTGGCTTTTGGTGGTGGTGGTAGTTTTTGTTGGTATTAGAGCTTGAACTCAGAGCCTAGGTGCTGTCCCTGAGATTTTTTTTTTTTCACTGAAGGCTAGTGCTCTTAGCCTTGAGCTGAAGAGCTGAGGGACAGTGCTCAGGCCCAGAGTTCAGGCCCCACGACCGGTCCTCCCCCTCCCCCCCAAAAAAAATGAAGGCTAGCGCTCTACCACTTTGAGCCACAGGCCCATTTCTGGTTTTCTGGTTAATTGGAGATAAGAATCTCATGGACTTTCCTGCCTAGGTTGGCTTCGATTCGTGATCCTCAGACCTCAGCCTCCTGAGTAGCTAGGATTACAGGCATGAGCTACTAGTGTCCAGCTACCATAGGTTGGTTTTTATTCTTTACTAACCCAAGGAATAGAAAAGAGCTAGCCAGGATGGTGTTTGAAGATTCTCAAAACTTGTAGCCCCAGAACTTCTAAGTTAGAGCTGCTGAGCTAAGGAGCCAGCTGAGGAGACCAAACAAACATTCTGTTTCAGTCCTTGGAATCAGAGTTGAGTATGTAAACTCAGTGTCACTCTAGTGTGTAAATAAATAAATACACTGGGTTAAGCTCAGAAGGCTCCATGACTGTGAGGAGAGATGGGCTTCTCAGGAAGAAGAATC